CCAACTGCGGGCGGCATAATAACTAAAAGCAGACTCCCCTTGTTTTGTGTGAACCCTTGGTATTTCTAACTGACTTGATCCTAATGATCTGAGTGGTCTGTTAGGTTTATATTCAGTGAACATATCTGCTATGTATTTAGGTCCTAGGCCATTGAGTGATTTATAAACGAGTAAAAGTACTTTAAAATCAATCCTAAATATAACTGGAAGCCAGTGTAAGGACCTGAGGACTGGTGTAATATGCTCAGATTTTCTGGTTCTAGTCAGAATTCTGGCAGCAGCGTTCTGGATGAGCTGCAGCTGTCTAATGGTCTTCTTGGGAAGGCCGGTGAGGAGACCATTACAATAGTCCACCCTGCTGGTGATAAAGGCATGAACAAGTTTCTCCAAGTCTTGACTGGAAACAAAACATCTAATTCTTGCAATGTTTTTGAGATGATAGTATGCTGATTTAGTTACTGCTTTGACATGACTACTGAAACTAAGGTCTGTCTCCAGAATCACACCAAGATTCCTGACTTTATTTTTAGTTGTTAGACCCCTAGAGTCAAGGTATGCATTCACCTTGAGAACTTCATCTTTGTTTCCAAATGCAATGACTTCAGTTTTTTCCTTGTTTAACTGAAGAAAGTTCTCGCACATCCAACTGTTAATTTCATCAATGCATTGGCAGAGGGAGTCAATGGGGCTGTAGTCATTTGGAGATAAGGCTAGGTAAATCTGGGTATCATCTGCATAGCTGTGATAGGCGATTTGGTTCTTTCTCATTATTTGACTTAGTGGGAGCATATACAGGCTAAACAAGAGCGGTGCAAGAATTGAGCCTTGTGGGACTCCGCATGTCATGGACGTCCACTTAGACTTATGCTCTCCTATACTCACATAATAACCTCTCCCTTCTAAGTATGACCTGAACCATTTGATTGCCATCCCAGAAAGCCCGACCCAGTTTTCCAGTCTCTCTAGTAGTATGTTATGATCGACAGTGTCAAACGCAGCACTGAGATCTAGTAGTACCAGCACTGATATTTTGCCAGATTCAGAATTTAAGCGAATATCATTTATTATCTTAATGAGCGCTGTCTCTGTGCTGTGATGCGGTCGAAAACCAGATTGAAAATTGTCCAGGTATCCATTTGAGTTTAAGTATTTGTTCAGCTGATTAAAGACTACCTTTTCAATAATCTTTCCTATAAAAGGAAGGTTTGATATTGGTCTATAGTTGCTCAATATGGTGTTATCAAGATTGCTCTTTTTCAGAAGGGGTTTAACAACTGCAGTTTTCAGGGAGTTTGGAAAAGTCCCAGAAAGAAGTGAGGCGTTCACCACTTCTAAGAGATCTGCTTCCAAACAGTTAAGCACCCTTTTGAAAAAATATGTGGGAAGTGTGTCAAGATAGCAGGTTGACGATTTAAGGTGCTGTACTATTTCTTCCAAAATTTTGCTATCAATTTCTTCAAAAGCAGACATAGTATCTTCTTTTTGATATTGTGGTCGAATCTGTCTAACCTCTGCATAACTTGGGGATGTGCTAATCGCCTTCCTGATATTATTGATCTTCTCAGAAAAGAAGGAAGCAAACTCATTGCATTTGCTGTCGGAGAGCATTTCACTGGCAATCTGACTTGGGGGGTTTGTCAGTCTCTCAACAGTAGCAAAAAGAGTGCGAGTGTTGTTTAAGTTACTGTTTATAAGGTTTGAGAAGAATGACTGTCTAGCTTTGCCTAGTTCCACATTGAAAGCACGAAGGCTATCTTTATATATGCTATAGTGGATTTCAAGTTTCGTCTTCCGCCACATCCGTTCTGCTTTTCTGCATTGTCTTTTCATACTCTGAACTGCTGTTGATTTTCTCCAAGCTGATTTCTGTCTGCCAGTCTTCTTGCTGACTTTCACAGGAGCAATGTCATCAATAACATTCTTAACTTTTGAGTTAAAGGAATCAAGGAGAAGATCAACAGAGTCTGCAGAAATGCTTGGTGTTAAAGATATAGCCTCCATAAATAGCACACTAGTGTTTTCGTTAATGCATCTCTTTCTGACAGAGACAGATCTAGATTCAGTGGTAACAGAGATCAATATATTAAAGAAAATACAGAAGTGATCAGATAGTGCTACGTCCTTAATAACAATGGATGAAATGTTTAGACCTCTACTGATGATTAAATCTAGAGTATGTCCACGATTGTGTGTGGGTTCATGCACATGCTGAATCAGGTCAAAAGTGTTTAAAACAGTTATAATTTCTTTTGTAGTTTTGTTTTCTGCATTATCTATGTGAATATTAAAATCCCCTGCAATAGCAAAACAGTCAAACTCTGAGGAAATCATTGATAGCATTTCTGTGAACTCTTCAGCAAAGGCTGGAGAGTATTTTGGAGGCCTGTAAATAATGATAAACAGAATGCGTGGAGCACCTTTCAACACAATCCCTAGATATTCAAAAGACAAGTACTGACCAAATGATACTTGCTTGCATTGATAGACATCTTTAAATAGAGCAGCTACACCTCCACCTCTCCTAACAGTCCTGCAAACACTCATGAAAGTAAAGTTAGGAGGGGCTGTTTCATTGAGGACCGTTGCACTACAGCTGTCTTCTAGCCATGTTTCGTTTAGAAACATAAAATCCAGGTTGTTTGTGGTTATTAAGTCATTGATTAGAAATGATTTATTTTTTAGTGAGCGAATGTTTAAAAATGCTAACTTGATGGCATTGCATTTTGTCTCAACAGCAATATTAGTTTGATGCATAACAGGCCGCAGATTAGATAAGTCAGCCGTACGGCTTAAGAAGGCCTTAGACTTTCTATCACGTGATAAAACAGAAATAGAGAAAACTACAGGCACACTGGGTTCCCGCTTGTTCTGTAAACATTTGTGAATGTTGCTGCTATTATAGCGGGGACCCGACACATATCACTGAGAGCTGCTATCAGTTGTTTTTGGTTCACCTACAGCAGATGGAGGGTTTGGGCCCTGGCGCTGTGGCAGCGGCCGGAGAGCTCTCACAGGAGGAGGAAGACGAGCTGGGCCCACAGGCTTTGGTGGTTGTGGGGCCCGCCGTTTTTTAGTTGATATCTGGGGGCTTGCAGCAAAAGAGTGGGAGAGTCTGGTCCCAGCATAAACCAGTTCCTCCATTTTCTGTGAGAAGCTTAGAAGTGGAGATGTTGGAGAGAGGAATAATGTGTCTGGTGAGCGGGGCTCTGGCTCTGTTGTTTCCGGTGGCTGTGATATGTTTTCCTGGCTTCCCTGGCTGTTTTCCAGAAAGTCGTCCTTGGGTGCTGAGTCTTGGAGCTGTTCTGATACGTCACAGTCTGTCTGTGATGAGCTCTGTGGGAAGGGCTCAGCCGGGATGGTGTCCATGAGCAGTGCTTGTTGTGGCTGCGTGGTGTTATCAGTGTCCTTGTGGGATGTGTCAACCACATGATGACTCGGAAGCTGATATGAAGTCCAAGGAACTAATGAATTACTACGGAAACTAACAAGGAGTGGGTGTGGTGGTCCAATGAGTGTCTATGCCATCTAATGAAGGTAGCTATGGAAACAAACAAGGCACACAGAAGACAGGGGCAAAACACACACAAGAAACATGTAACAGCGGCAGTCCGTAACTTATTTTGTGCTCAAAATTTACAAAATGTATATAATAAATGATCATGAATCAATTTTCCAAACCGTGTTTCTGGCTTATCCTGAATCAATACAGTACACCTATAATAAGTTTTTATATTCAGACTATTTTAGACTGATTCTGGTAGTAACTCCTGCAGAGTAGCCCAGTATCTGCTTGACTTATTATAGACATAAACAGAAAGAAAGTAGCTCCGGCTAAAATGTTCTTCCGCAAGATGCATTCGGTTCCCTTTATTTCTTGCAAAAAGTTACAGACTGCAGCTTTAAATATATACATGCACGCATAATAAATATACACAGTACATACACGTAAACACAGACTTTTATTTTGGATGCAGGGTTCCCACGCTTCTTGAAAGTACTTGAATTTCAGACATATGGATTCAAGGCCTGGAAAGTACTTGAAAACAAACATAGGTCCTTGAAAGTGCTTGCATTAAATTTGAAATAAATTTTGTTTATGCAGGGATTAAAGTTTTCCGTCGCTACGACGGATTTCCGTCAATTGGAAAAAAAAAAAATGGGGAAAAGAAACATGTGGCGCATTGTTGTTCTGCCGGCACACCAAAAATCA